GGTAATATCTGTCAATCATATCTTGGGAAATGTGGCACTCAGGGTAATGTCTATCATATCTTGGGAAATGTTGGGCTCAGGGTAATGTCTGTCTATCATATCTTGGGAAATGTTGGGCTCAGGGTAATGTCTGTCTATCATATCTTGGGAAATGTGGCACTCAGGGTAATGTCTGTCTATCATATCTTGGGAAATGTTGGGCTCAGGGTAATGTCTGTCTATCATATCTTGGGAAATGTGGCACTCAGGGTAATGTCTGTCAATCATATCTTGGGAAATGTGGCACTCAGGGTAATGTCTGTCTATCATTTCTTGGGAAATGTGGCACTCAGGGTAATGTCTGTCTATCATTTCTTGGGAAATGTGGCACTCAGGGTAAAGTCTGTCTATCATATCTTGGGAAATGTGGGGCTCAGGATAATGTCTATCATATCTTGGGAAATGTGGGGCTCAGGGTAATGTCTGTCTATCATATCTTGGGAAATGTGGCACTCAGGGTAATGTCTGTCAATCATATCTTGGGAAATGTGGCACTCAGGGTAATGTCTGTCAATCATATCTTGGGAAATGTAGCACTCAGGGTAATGTCTGTAAATCATATCTTAGGAAATGTGAGGTTCAGGGTAATATCTGTCTATCATATCTTGGGAATTGTGGGGCTCAGGGTAATGTCTGTCTATCATATCTTGGGAATTGTGGGGCTCAGGGTAATGTTCTGTCTATCATATCTTGGGAAATGTGGCACTCAGGGTAATGTCTGTCTATCATATCTTGGGAAATGTGGGGCTCAGGGTAATGTTCTGTCTATCATATCTTGGGACATGTGGCACTCAGGGTAATGTCTGTCAATCATATCTTGGGAATTGTGTGGCTCAGGGTAATGTCTGTCTATCACATGTTGGGAAATGTGGGGCCCAGGGTAATGTCTGTCAATCATATCTTGGGAAATGTGGCACTCAGGGTAATGTCTGTCAATCATATCTTGGGAAATGTGAGGTTCAGGGTAATGTCCTGTCTATCATATCTTGGGAATTGTGGGGCTCAGGGTAATATCTGTCTATCATATCTTGGGAATTGTGGGGCTCAGGGTAATGTCTGTCTATCATATCTTGGGAATTGTGGGGCTCAGTGTAATGTTCTGTCTATCATATCTTGGGGAATGTGGCACTCAGGGTAATGTCTGTCTATCATATCTTGGGAATTGTGTGGCTCAGGGTAATGTCTGTCTATCACATGTTGGGAAATGTGGGGCCCAGGGTAATGTCTGTCAATCATATCTTGGGAAATGTGGGGGCCGTTTTACTGCCTGCCAGAAACTGGGAGATGGGGAGTATAGACAATGTCTGTCAAATACTGGGAGATCAGGAGTAATGTCTGTCAAATACTGGGAGATAGGGAGTAAAGTCATGTCTGTCAAATACTGAGAGATAGGGAGTAAAGTAATGTCTGTCAAATATTGGGAGATAGGGAGTAAAGTAATTTCTGTCAAATACTGGGGGATAGGGCGTTGAGTAATGTCTGTCAAACCCTGGGAGATAGGGAGTAATGCCTGTTAAATACTGGGGGACAGGGCGTAAAGTCATCTCTGTCAAATACTGGGAGGTGGGAAGTGCAGGTAATGTCTGTCAGAACGGACACTTAAGCAATACTCTGTGGAAGATCAGGTCAGCAGGGACAAAGTCTGTCAGATACTGAGGAACGGAGAGAAGGAGAAACGTCTGTGAGAGAAGGAGAACACCAGCAATGTCTGTCACACAACTAATTTGCTATTTAAATGGGGTAAAAGACAAATGTATGGCTGAACTGATTAATCTAAAGTACTTATACTAAATTACACATAAATAAATATAATTATCATTAAAATTCACCTGTAAGGATTTAATAAGATGTACCATAAGTAGGGCTTTCTTTTCTCATGGTGCTACCGGCACCTTTTTTCAGCACTACTATAATATACTTCGTGGTGTGCACTGGCACCTTTTTATCTAGGAGAAAATCTCTGAACATAAGAACAGAGAGAGAGAGAGAGAGAGAGAGAGAGAGAGAGAGAGAGAGAGAGAGAGAGAGAGAGAGAGAGAGAGAGAGAGAGAGAGAGAGAGAGAACTAGGCAGAGAGATTGAACAAGATAAGGATAATCTTGTTTATATTGAACCACACACAAAAGAACACGGGGGCCTCGCTAGCGCAGTCGATAAGAGGCTCGCTTTCAAATCCAGCTGCGACTCGCTGCAGCCCACGGCCGGTTTTTGAAACCTAGCGGCTCCCGGGGTTCACCCAGCCTCTAGGAAATGGATGCCAGATTTGATACTCTGGGGTGAATGGAGGAACGTCGCTGTAGCTACAAAGTTACGTGTGGACGGCGACACAGGCGGACAATTCTTATCAGCTGTCTGAACTGGTGGCAGAGCACTTACGGTTATAACCGTTTGCAATGACGCTGGCTCACATCTCCCACCTTTACCTTTACAAAAGAACACTGCAGGTGTCAGACATTCCAGTAAGAGATAACACAAAATAACAATTCACATCAAATTTAAGCATACACTCTCAGAATCCAACTAAAGACAGCTGACTGTCTCAAATATACAATTTGCATGAAAACCAAAATACACACAGATTCTGTTCTTGTCCTTCTTCTCTAGCCTTTGAGGTTCATCACCGCCGACATTACCCGCCTCCATTCTTCTCTGACTGGCCTTCTCTTTCTAACTGGTACCTCCAAGAATTGCAGGTCTGTCTGGATATTATCTCATTCTCTTGTTTAGAAAATACGGGCTTCTGGGCTGAAAATGCTATAGAACGATTCTCAGACCAGAATGGACTGAATGTTGAATGCTGAATTAGGAAACCACATCACAGCGGTCGGGACACTCCCATAAGCCCACCGTCCCTAATTTCAGCAGCAAGCGAAGAGTTCCAATTCCCATGGCACCAGTGGCTGTCTGACTGCATATCCGTCTCGCCTTTCCTTGAGTGTTGAGCGTCGGCCACATCCCCTTGTTACTCAAAGCAGCGCCATTCTCCTCAGACCGTAATGATCTCTCTGTCTCTCCACACTGTTCACTCACTCGCAAAGGGCCTTCATAAATCTAGCTTGTCATACATGAGTTCACCACCAATGGATGCAGAACCGGCCAGTCTCTCTGCCTACTCATTTCCAAGTAAATAGCACTGTTCTGAAAACGGAAATACTTTGGCCTTATTTTCTTGGTGTTCCCCGGCTGTAAACTCTGGAAGAAAGTTCTGGTTGTTCATCCATCTCTGGACTTTAGACTTGAACTAGAACCTAAACTTTTGAGCTCGGATCTTACTCCAGAACTTGAGTTTCTCTCTTGGTTGGTTGCTGAAGAGTGGGATGGAGCTACTATGTGCTTGTCCTGAACGCTGCAATGTCGAATCTTTACCCTGATGACCCTACGAAATAATTTATACCGTACATGCAAGTGCTACCTTTGGACTAAACAAGGCAGGCCAAGTGATGATGCATGGGCTTATATGGTTCTGTAATGTCGAATCTTTACCCTGATGACCCTAGGAAATAATATATACTGCACATGCAAATGTTACCTTTCCTTTGAAGTAAACAAGGCAGGCCAAGCGAGGGATCATGATGCATGGGCAACACATGGTCTCTCCAATACTGCCCAGGCTTTGGGCTACAGGTCTTGCTAGTCACACTCACCGTCACCATGGGCTGTGACACCCAGGCCTCCTCACGGCACAATTTAACACTATCTGTTGTCAAGACAGACAGGTGCCAACAACATTCAAGCACTTATCAACAAGTAAAGGACCTCTTCAACGCCTTCGGGCATGTAGGGCTAGACCTATATTTTATAAGCATTCAGTGGGTGATGTGGTCAGGATCATATTGGCCGCCTTTACTTTCCAGGATTTTACCTGTACACATTTAAGGATGAATCAACCTGGCAGCCAAGGTCACGCTGAAACAGAAAACAAAACAAAAAATCTAGCCTCATTAGGATCTCATTCCACGACATGCAAGTACCTGACCAAATGATGAAACAATGCTGAAGCACGACCGGCACCAGCTGTCGGGCCATGCTGCTGACGTCACTTGGTCAGGCTAATGATGTGTTAATGCAGCGGTTCTCAAACTGGGTGGCTGTGAGCGTACGCCAAGGATTGCGCGGCAATAATCAAGAAAAGTCGGTTTAAAATTGGGAAATTATTAAAGAAGCCATATAGATACTTCTCATCTTCTTCACTTCCTCTTTTACCGCTGTGGGTGTCGAGGGAGATATAAGGTTCTGTTTCTAGCTCTTCTGGCCGCCTCGACCATAGGCACATCGTGCTGTTGTAGAGTTTCTCTGATGTTATCCTTCCATCTTGTTCTTGGTCTACCTCGTGCTCTACGTCCTTCTTCTCTTTCCATGTATGCTTTGTATGGTTTGGTGTCACAAGGCATTCTCTCTAAGTGGGCAAACCATTTCATTTGCTGTCTTCGTATGTAATCCAGAATTGGTTCTGTGCCGACTTTTTCTCTTATGATCTCATTCCTGATCTTATCTCTTATGGTCACTATTACAGCCCTTCTCAGACATCTCATTTCCATGGTTACTAATTTTCTTTTATGGTTTGTTGTGAGTGACCATGTCTGGCACTGGTAGCACAGAGCTGGAATAAATATGCTTTGAATAAGATGTCTTTTTGTGCTGATTGGGATTGTCTTATGCTGTAAGAGATGGGCTAGCTGTCCCAATACTTGGTTTGCTTTACTGCATCTAATGTTAATTTCTTTATCCAATTTCCCATCTTCGGTAAATGTAGTTCCCAGATATTTAAACTTATATAGATACTTCAAAGTTAAAACTTAAGTTGTCTTCCTTCGCCACTGTCAAATATAGTTTATTTCTTGTTTGAGAACCGCTGCGTTAACACATCGTCAGCCCGACCTGGTGATGTCAACAGCAGTATAGCCCGTCAGCTGGAGCCGGCCGTGGCTGAACATACAGCAACAACAACAAAAATAATGCAAGCTATGAATCATCCATGGCAACGACAGATGTGAAACTGTCATGCATGACATCGTCCGATATGTGTGACGGGGTGAACTGAAGAAGAGTCAATGTCTCAGCACACGTCGCTGGTAACGTGTGCCGCTTGTGATAAAATGCTGATACGGGTGCGCATTCTGATTTGTTCAACGATGTTACACTCGCAGAATGGCTGGTTGTATACTTTGTCCTGCTGGAGGCGGGAGTGTGCAATGCAGGATTAGTATCCGATTCGCCACTACTGAAAGAAACCACACTATTTGACCTGCTACACAATGTGACCGTTGCATGGGTTGTACTTCTATACTCCTTTGGGGGTACAGTTCTAAACTCAGGTTTATGGTAAGAAAATGGGGTGTGGCTGCTAGTCTCCCGTGAATGTACAAGACACAACAGGGCAGTACTACACACAGAATTATTTCCTCCGGGCACAAGATCTTCAAACTTCTGACCCTCGCTCCCACAGCTGCAGATCTGGCTTGGAAGCAACAGTGACTGCTCACTGCTGATGCTGCAGCTTCGAGAAGAGCTTGCTGATCGAGTTAGGACATCAGCTTCAAGGACATCATCTGCTTCTACAGGTGAAGCACTTAGAATGTTCTCTGAGGCAGCATGATTGCTAGAAACACCTCCAACATCCAAGCTACACATCTGATTTGTTCCATGCTGACAGAAACTCCGAGAAACATGATCGACTGCATCGACATGCCCCAACAGGGAAGTTTCTCTCTTGTCTACGCTGCTTTTGGCAGAGACGGTGGGCTTTTTCTGCCGGACATCAATCACTCTCGTTGGACGTCCTGGACGTAAAATTATAAACTTGCTAGGACCTGCGAACAAAAGCGAAATAAACTCACTAAAGTTGTTTGATAATAAGAAGTTATTAACGTTCTTTGATAATAAAATTAATTTATTAATGTTCTTTGAGAGAAAGACAATACTACTATAGGTGTTCTTTGACAAGATAAAGTTATCTGAAAAAAAGATTAGGTTAATAAAGTTACCTGATAATAAGATACAGTTATTAAAGTGATCTGACAACAAGAAAAAGTTATTAACATTATCTGACAAGATGAAGTTTTTACAGTTTTTTGACAAGAGAAAGTTATTGGACAACAAGATAAAGTTATTTAACAACAAGATAAAGTTATTAAAGTTATCTGACAATAAGATTCAGTTATTAAAGTTACCTGATAACAAGTTATTAAAGTTATTTGACAACAAAATACAGTTGTTAAAGTTACTTGACAATAAGATAAAGTTAAAGTTATTTGACAAGACAAAGTTATTAAAGTTACCCGAAATGATAAAATTACTACATTCTCTGACAGTTATTAAAGTTTGATTGAAGCCGAATCCTTAATAATATATTGAGGTACATATAAACAAGCCAGATCTGTAAAACAGATAGCTTCCTTCGAAGTCGGAGTGCATCTGGAACATCTGGAGGCAAGGAACCAGCAGTCTGCACACAAATGAGTCAGATCTGTAAAACGGATGCACACGCAACACTAGGTTTTGGAACAGGACTGCAGTCCAGAAGTGGATGAACAACCAGAACTTTCTACCAGAGTTCTACAGCTGGTGACCGCAAAGAAGAAAGAAGAAGAAAACAGATGTGCAGGCAACATGCAGATTCTGGAATAAGACCACAGTCCAGAGGTGGACAAACAACCAGGACTTTCTGCAGGAGTTTACAGCCTGTGAATGAGAAGAATAATGACTTCATTCACGATATCGAGGTGAACGCACAGGAGAGAGTCAAAGGGAGACACAGACTGCAAGTCATACGTGACATATAATGGTAGAATAGGACAATGCATGAATTACGAGTTTGTTGGCACTGAATTTGTCAGGCAGAGGTGAAGGTGAGAGAATTAACTTCATTGCACCAGATTTTATCATATATCGTTGTCTCTCTCCGCACAAAAACTAGCTGCCTGCTGAAAGCGCCACAAACAGCATGACCTCCCTAGCTCCGACGACGATCCCCGGGAATCTCCGTAAAAATTGAACTGAGCGGTGAGGCCATAAAACGAACCCACTAACTTCAGAGTGCGAGGCAAATGGCTTGACCACTTCGCCACGGAGACCGCCAGTGAGGCCAAACTGTGTAGATACCAGAGCCTAGCTGTAAACTACAATGTCATAAGTGCGAATGCTGAAGAAGAAAGAACAAGAACAATGAGAACTGACCCGACATAATCTCCTCCCCGTACCAGTTACTCGGGGTAAGTGTCGCCAGCGGTGGAATCGGAGGAGACTCGTCCACCGCTGCCTCCATGTCAGCAGTTGGAAATCCGGTGACCTCTTGCTTCCGCCGCTGCTTGTTCCATGGACACAGGACGCTGATGGACACCCTCTGCTTGCACAGCGGGCATCGGTTGGACATTTTCACCAGCCATCTATCTACACAGTAGCTATGGTAGCCTGTGTGACCAACACAACATGTTTACCATACTGAGATGTACACATGATAGTTATTAATGTCACTCAGTCAGAAAACTGGCAAGTCATGTCATTCAGTCATAAAACTGTCAAGTCATGTCATTCAGTCCAAAAAATTGGCAAGTCATTTCACTCAGTCATAAAAGTGGCAAGTCCTGTCACTGAGTCAGAAAACTGGACAGTCATGTCATTCAGTCAGAAACTGGCAAGTCGTGTCAGTCAGTCAAAAAACTGGCAAATTGTGTCACTCAGTCAGAAAACCGGCCAATGATGATGATAATGACAATAAATGCTGATGAGATAATGATGATGCTTTTGATAAATAATGATGATGAGATAAATTATGATTCTGTCAATAAATGATGATGATGAGATAGATGATGTTGATGACAGTGATAAATGATGGTGATGATGACAGCGATAACTGATGATGATGATATAAATGATGATGATGATGGCGATAAATGATGATGATCAGATAAACGATGATGGTGATGATGTTGGCAATAAATGATGACAATAAACGATGATAAAAGTAAACCCACAATGATTACAAGGCAGCTGTCGTATAAGGCGTTCTTCGTGAAACTCTTCATGGCAGATAGGACATCTGTCTTGGCTGTCCTCTGTGACAGACATAAGTATAACCTGATTAACAAGTGCAACCGCAAAAAAAGAATTTAATACAGTAAAACCTTGTCAACATGAACCTGCCTAATCATTTCGTCCTGGTAATGCTAACAATTTTTTCTTATCAGCAATTTTGTTTCGAATAAATTTCACTGCTGTTTTTAGTTCGTTCACGAGGCCAGAGTTTACATTCCACTGTTGTTCTTTCTGGCCAAAAGGTTCCCCTTAATGAGTCAAATTCTGTACAGACCTGGAGTACATATTACAGGTGCACATGGCTGATACGCCTATCTTGAATTGTGTGTACACGTGATTACGTAATCAGCTGTGCCCTGTTCTGAGGCAGAGGAAAATGACTTGTTCTGGTCCGTCCACAAGAAAATAGTCGTCTTGTGGTTTCCCGATCGATGTAATAATATTTTGGTGGTATGTAACTAATACATCGGCTGCTCGGACTTAACAAACAAACTACTATCTACAACTCATTTTTTCTTCTTCTAATTTCCGCTTCTTCTTCTTCTCTGCATTCAGTTTCACATGCTCAGATCAGACCATCAGGTGGGTTGCCTCTATGAACTTGAACGTCAGCAGCAGGTCCTGCATGGTTCCCCATAGCTTGCTCTGCACACTTTGCTTTAGAGGCCAGGTTTCCTTTAGAAGTTGTAGGTAGAGTGGGCAGGTCTGCAGGATGTGCTGGGGTGTGGTCCAGTCTGACAGGCACACTGTGGGGACCGTACAGTCTTTATGCATGTGATAGTTGAGCCTGTAGTGTCCTGTACATTTTTTCCAATTTAACTGCCAGGTGGTCTACAAAACTATTGTCCTTTTTTGTGGGTCCATGGTTGTCAAAAGGCTGAAGAACACTGCCTTACAGGATGTTGCAGAACCAACCTCAGCATTTTTTGGGTTGTTTAGTTGTACTAGGTAATTTACATTTAGTAGTTTGCCTTTGCTACTGAAAGGTCAACACTTACATCAGTGTGAAAATAATGCAGTGTGGTGTGCAGAACAGTACTTTGTATGTTGAAATTATGAAAATGCATTCATAACTCCTAAGCCATAAAGCTGGCATTTACAACTAGCTAAGTAGTACTGATAACTTATAGGGGAAGAGGAGAAGAGGCACACCAAGAAAGACATGGATAAAGAACTCTGATGACAGGCCGTGCTGTACCAATGGATAGGCCCATTGGGTATTTGCATGCATGAGTCCTAAAGAGCACAAGGACCTCATGCTAATCTGTGTGTATGTTCAATACTTCTTTTTCTTCTGCGTTCATCCGAAGATGTAATTGCGTTGTGCCTGTTTTCAGCATGGCTGTGATATTTGCACCTTTCGGACAACATATCTGACTTCTGCGGGCATTTCTTGACCAGGTTAGCCTTTCCGGCATGTTCAATAAAATCAGTCACTTATATTTTATCTCTGTGAGTGGCTGTCGTAGGAAAGCTGACCAGACAGTCAACTGCAACTGGTGACCCAACGACACGCAGTGTGACGAGACGATGATGAAGTTGATAAGTCAAGACTGCTTGTCCTGTGGAAATTTTTTCTGTCCGGGACTCAGTTCTCAAAATCACATAAGATATCAGACGACCCCACACCGTCCTATCAGCAACATCCTCAAAAACACATAAGATATAAGACGACCACCTCGTCCTATCAGCAACATCCTCAAAAACACGTAAGATATCAGACGACCACCCCGTCCCATCAGCAACATACTCAAAATCACAAAAGATATCAGACGATCACCCTTGTCCTATCAGCAACATCCTAAACACTGGAGTTATATCATCATGTGCCCTGCTAACTGGGCGCTCTTGCATCTCCACAGATCACAATCCCTGGTTGCCTGGAACAGCTCTCTGGATAATATCCCTCCGTGCCATCATTTTAGCCCATCCAGTATCATCTCTCTTGGTCTGCCTCTACCCCTTTTCCAACTGAGTTATATATAAGCCACAAACAGAACAAACCCATGCCTACCTCCATCAACTCTCTTGGTCTGCCTCTACTCATTTTCCCACTGAGTTATATATAAGCCACAAACAGAACAAACCCATGCCTACCTCCATCAACTCTCTTGGTCTGCCTCTACTCTTTTCCCACTGAGTTATATATAAGCCACAAACTGAACAAACCCATGCCTACCTCCATCAACTCTCTTGGTCTGCCTCTACTCTTTTCCCACTGAGTTATATATAAGCCACAAACTGAACAAACCCATGCCTACCTCCATCAACTCTCTGAAATCTCTTCAGAGGAATCCTCTTCACCTCCCATCTGGTTAGAGATCGGCCACAGCAGCCCCATTTCTGTGTAGGAGAGAAGGTACGTACACACATTCATTAACACTTTATATGGATAGCTGGTGAAACAGAGTCAGCGGTGTAAGTGCTAATCAATACAAATTCACGCCCAGGTGACATCATTATGCATACAGATGGGTCTGTGGTCAGAAGTAAGAAGAATGGGTGGGGTTTTATTGCAAAGGTGAATGGACACTGTTTGAAAACAGAGAGGCTTGCATGCAATGTCACTACATCCAGTGTGAGAATGGAGGTGGAGGCAGCCTTTCAGTGACTCAGGAGCAGCACAGTCTGGGATGTAATTACAAGAGATTCACAGAGCATGATTTGGAAAACTGAAATGGGCATCCTGCATGCAGAACGGCTAGCATCATTTGATAAGACTCAGATCAGGAGTATGTTATAGATTGTCTGCCCAGGGTATGCAGGTGTGCGAGGTAATGAGCAGGCTGATTGATTAGCTGCTGCCATTCCTCTGGGCGGTGAGCTATTTTATAATAAAGCAGACGTGGATATTGGCCTATGTCTTATCTCCATCATCATATTTTTTTTCCAGGCTACAATGACATTAAACATGGCTAAAATACCTCAGCTTTTGGAACATGATTCTGTTTATGATCCAATTCTTCTCTACGTTCAGATCACGTAGGATGTCGATGTGTTTTTCTTCTTCCTGGTCCATGGTATTCTAAGAATTTTTCTGTAACATTTCAGGGACAGGTAAAAACTGTTAACATGCTTACCGCTGACATGACAAAACTGTTAACATGATTACCTCTGACACGACAAAACTGTTTACATGCTTACCACTGACAGGACAAAACTGTTAACAAGCTTACCACTGACAGGACAAAACTGTTGACAAGGTTACCACTGACAGGACAAAACTGTTTACAAGCTTATCACTGACAGGACAAAACTGTTAACAAGCTTACCACTGACAGGACAAAACTGTTAACACACTTACCACTGACAGGACAAAACTGTTAACATGCTTACCACTGACAGGGCGATGAGGCTGCTAACAACCACACAGGCCCAAATGTAAATACAGATATGGAAATAGTGTTCACCAAACGAGTCGTCGTCTTCCCCGTTATCGCTGACGCTGACTTTGTTTCCTTGATTATTGTTCTGTCCCAGGACAGGAGGGTGAGCGGTTGTGTGCGTAAGTATTGTCAGCAAATGTGAACTGAAACAGGGTGAGAATTTTATACCAGAGTAGTATTGTCAGCAAATGTGAACTGAAACAGGGTGAGAATTGTATACCAGATGTGAATAAAGGTAGGTAGGTAATTGTACTCCACCAGGACATCGCACAAGCGATAAACACCCGGTGACACAAAGTGCCTCTGTACGGATGAGGATCACCCGTGGAGAGATCCTGGAAACCCTGTTCAGCTGCTAGGCCATATTTCAGGCCCGGCTATATAAAGGGCCCCTGTCAAAAGCCAGGGTGGGGCTTCAAAATAGCTAAAAGTTGCATTCCACAAGAGGATTATGAGATACTTAGTAGTGAATAAAGATACAAACAAAAAAATTTTTTATTTACGTCCTCGTGTGGGTTGTATGGCCCCTTGTGGGTTGCAGGGCCCCATGTGGGTTCCAGAACCCCATTTTAAGAGACAAAAGAAAAGACCCACTGCCCCTTAAAGGTTGCGCTGTCCAGGTAATCGCTAACATAAGAATCCTTTCATGCCAGCATTTAATCGTACAAAGAACCGTCACTCATGCTGGTCCCACACTGAGGTCCTCTGCCTTCTTCTCACCTCAGTTCATTCCCTTTGACCACAGTTCACTGACTTCCTGAAAATCCCTTTACACGTTCTCGCTTCCTTTTTCATGGAGCATTCTCTCCTTGTGTTTAAGATCTCCTAACTGGCCTCTGACCTCTTAACCTTTCCTCTGGGGGAATCCTTTCTATCGTCTTAGGGGGTTTTCCTATTCATAACATCGGCACATTTTGCTGTATCTTATCAAGTGTATTCGACAGTAACAATTGAATCGCCGCGGCGCGAACAAAGCACTGCCTAAATCAACCAAATTGTCTCACCAGTTACCTATTGATTACACAGTCGTCTCGCATCGTCTCGTCCGAAAAGTATGTTAATCCATCGACGCAGCAGGGGATAAAATGGGGCCTGGTCTCATGAACCAGGTCGGCCCACCTTTTGAAACAGTTTAGGAAATAACGGGCCGAAACAATTAACGAAGAATGACTTTCTACTGAAGACAGGTAGACCCCTGCTGTACATGCTCTCCTGTGGAGTTTTTCTTATTATTAAATGAAGCAAATAAATGAATCCTGTATAACTAAAACATGTTAGTTAGTCGACAGATTATTCTCACTGCACAACGAACCAGTCATCCACAAGCGCTCAGATCCCATCTTCAGTTAATCATGCAGTGTGTAGTGGCTTACCACACCAGTTCTGTGTTGGTTTTTTTTCCCCATTATTCTTTACCTTCCTTCATAGTGCTCTTGTCTGGCCATACCCCTTTTAACTAGCTGTTCTTGCAGTCTGGTCATGGTAGCAGATTCCCAGTCATCACTTGGTGCTTGCAAAAGCCTTACTTCTCAAAGAACATTCAGAAAATCTGTGTGGCCCATGGCTTGTCAGCCCTCCACAGTAGCTTTACCCACAAGCCCATCTCAGCTTGCTCATTTCCTTGCATGCCATGCCTGTGTGCCGTCATGAATATGAAACTGACCTTTGTTAGTTCTGACCCCCTCAGAGACATCAACCCATGTAGCAGGTCCTTTGCAGAACGTCGCTCTCGTCGCGGTCTGCCCGAAAGAAACTCGGTCACTCGCCAGCTCTCCCGCCTCGTGTACTTTCATACTCAAGGAGTCACTTATATCCTGTGCCCATCTTCGTGTCAATCGGCCCCTGCCCCTCCTTCTTGGTACCATGCCTTCTGCTATAATTTTGTCCAACACGTTGTGGCGCTCGATATGACCAAAATATTTTAGTTTTCGAGACAGGATCCTGAAGTTATTTACAAAATCATTCTTACTTAAAACTAACTGCCTCTTTTACCAGCGCTAAAAAACGTTAGTTGTGTATCCTTTACAGGATGTTGCAGAACAACATAATTTTTTGGTTATTGTGGTTTTTCCAGGCAAAATTTACGCTCAGCAGTTTGCCACTGCTTGCTAAACGGTCAGCTCCCGGTACGACTGTCGAAACGAACGCACGACAAATCGTCCGCAGCTGAATTGAACCCGGCACTACCAGGGCTAAGGCAAGCAGCATAAAAACAAATACTCGGTCTCTCGCCAGCTCTCCCGCATCATGTACTTTCATACTCAATGAGTCACTTATATCCTGTGCCCCTCTTCGTGTTGGTCGGCCCCTGCCCCTCCTTCCTGGTACCCTGCCTTCTGCTACAATTCTTTCCAAACCGTTGTGGCGCTTGTTATGACCAAAATATTTCAGCTTCTGAGATGGGATGCTATTTATTAGCCAATCTTCCTTGATGTTCAAATCTTTCAAGATGTCAGTATTTCTCCCCTTCTTTGTCCAAGACATTCTGAGAATATTTCTATAGCATTTCAGCTCAAAAGCCCCTATTCTCTTTCTTAAGGACTGGGAGATAGTCCACAACTCACATCTGTTTGTTGCCACAGTGAAGATGCATGCTCTCAAAATTGTAAATGTTATCTCCTTGCTGGTGCTTAACCTTAGAATTTTAAGGCTGTTCAATCTTTGCACTGCTATAGCCATCCTCCTTTTAATTTCTGTCAAATAGTCTGCACTGCTGTTTATTATAGAGCCTAGATATTCAAAGTTTGTGACAAATCAAATAGACTGGCCATGTAACAAGACTGGCAACCTACAGGGCACCACAGAAAGCAATGTTAGAAAGATGCAGTGGAAACAGAGCTAGTGGTCAACCAAGCAGAATATGAACTAGGGCAAATATCAGAGACACTGAAAAGTACTATATATGAAGTGAACAGAAAGGTCAATTCCATGGATCTCTTCCTGCCCTCATGCTATGAGGCATTTCAAGAGTAGACAAAAGAAGAGGAAGAAGAAGAATCATTTCAGAAAGACACCTGGTAATGGAGGAGTTAACATAATTTTACCTTAGCTCACAAACAACTAGAGTCTAAAACAAATACCTGGAAGAATTGATTTGTACGGAAGTAAAAATGCTCCCACTGGTGTAGTTGATGAAGTAGGCGGAAAGTGACATGGCTGTTGGCATTGCTGTATGAACAAAACAAAAACACATTTGAGTGAGTTGGGTTGAGTCAAGAACTGACATCACAGCACTCGGGGCATTCCTATGTGTGCTCTGTCCTTATCTTCAGCAGCCAGCACAGAGTTCCAATGCTGATGGTACCGGTCACAATCTGGTTATATATCCGTCTTGCCTTTTCTCTGAGTTTAGTGAGCCGGCCAGACCCTCTGGTTACACCCAGATGCCTCATTCTCTCCAGGCTATAATAATCTTCTTTCTCTACTGACTCCATTGCTTGTTTCCAAAAGGCCTTGACCACATCTGCCTTGTCATGTATCAATTCACTACCCAGTGGAGTGCAGATCCAGCCAATCTGTCTGCCTGTTCATTACCCAATACGCCGGCATAGCCTGGAGAAAAGATCCAAAGTATGTTTACTACCTGTGACCTTCCCAGTGAAGCTTGCCACTCTGCTAGAAGCATCTTCTTTCTCAGCATGATTTTAGAGTCTGTTACAATTATGACATATGTATGCATCTAGTTCTTTAGCCACCATCATTTAAGCTGCATGCTTAACATATTCCCCACATACAAAATGTTGCCCACTCATTACAGCCATTTTCTTCGACCCGTACTTTGCAGAAATATCCTGGGGGGCTCCTTTAAAAATATTAGCCCAACCTATAAGTGGCTACAATTGAAACTAAACAGAGAAGTTGAATGGATGTTACCGATCGCTTTATCTCAAAAATAATGCTCTAGCCAAATGTAATCATTTTTCTAACTTCTAAGTGGGAGTCGCCGTGGCGGAGCCGCTAGACACTCGCCTGCAGATCAGAAGGTCGTGTGTTCGCTCCCTGGCAGAGCCGGATTAGTTTTTAAAAATTACCTTGGCTCCCAGGTCAACATAGCATGAGTGGGTATTGGGTGCAGTCCCAGGAAGTAAAGTTGGCCAGCGTGATGCTGACCAAATCACCCATCATGTGTTGATTGGTCTATAAAATATATGCGGCCAGGGGACTGAACTCCGGCGTACTCCCCCGGCCGCCATAATAAGTGGCCGTAGTTTTAAGGAGAACCAAAATCCCTAATTACTCACATTTCACAACCTGCCCCCAAAACCCACAGTGGGAGAATTATTTAAAAATTCAAAGCAGTTGACGGAGATAATCTTTAAATCCTCAGTAACAACTGTACACAAAACAAAACAAAAATATCTAAAAAAGTATACATATATATATATATATAGTCTTTTTTAAGATATTTGTTTCGTACAACTTTTACTACTTTGTCAATATACTACTACTACTACTACTACTACTACTATTAGTACCACCACACAACTACTACTACTACTAATACTACTACTGTTACTTGTGCTACTACTACTACCACCACTGCCACTATTATTTCTACTATTACAACTATTACTGCTCAAATACTACAACTATTGTTACTATTATTACTGCTAATACTACTACCAATAAAAATAGTAATACTACTATTACTACTACCAATACTAATAAAATTACTACTACACTACATTTATTACTACACTACAACTACTACTACTACTGTGACCCTAAAATTACTACTATAATTATTACTACTACTACAATTACTACTACAAGTACTACAATTACTACTGCTACAATTACTACTACTACTACTACTACTACTACTACTACTAAAATAACTACTACTACAGTTACTACTACTTCTACAATTACTATTACTACTATTACAATTTCTACTACAAGTACCTACACTGACTTTATTAACAGCCCTTTAGACTTTAGTATGATAAATGTGTATAACAAACAGATCACAAAGAGCTGCTGCCAAAATATTTCAAGAGTCTGTGAAGGAAATCCAGATCTGACTCACTAATGTGTAAGGAAGAAGGAATTACCCGAGTATCTACTGGAAAACCACAGCGACTTGATCCATTTCCCAATATATGGCGCAGGGAATACTAACACTGACAGGGTCATAATTACATTGACTGATAGTATTATTAATATACTGATACAGTCTTATTTATTCATACCGTTTAGTAATAATTATACTCTGTACTGTTTTCCTGAAATGCACTAGAATAAAAATTAAATAAAAAATGAAATCGGAGTACAAAACGTATCTATCAACAACTGTACTCACTGTAGTGTTACTTAGTAAAGTAACAGTACTGCACAGAATAACAATTATGTTGATAGTTAATACACTAATAATTATGTTGACTAATTAATAAAATAACACAACACAGATTTAAGTACCCTCTAGCTAGGAATCGATAAATGGCATGAAATGTCCATTTAGCTTTCTACAACAATGACTTCAATGAGTCACTGCCTCAGACTGGGTACTTAATAATAAGTTTGATGAAGATCAACATATTACAATTAAATAGCGTATACATGTGAAGCAAAATCAATAAACTACAGTTTAAATCCACATAAAATGAGATTAATATGCAACAAACCTTAGGCATTCGCCATTTCATCAACAACAAAGGAGACGACGGTCCATGTCTCTCTTTTCCACAGCTGATCTCTCCTACTCCAAGATCGCCACTTTCTCCGCCATATTCACAAAAATAACACATCAACCAGACTTCATGATGCTTTTAAAACAATCCGGGGTCGTCATGTGTGATGTATCTCTCTTCGTCAGCCCTGTAATTAGCAGCAATTTCTCACAAATCAATCGCCGTTAACGGATTTCTTTGTATCACCGCTTTGTTGTCATTTCTCAGCGGCGGCCATCGTCTGAATCCAGCCAAACGCTGGCCGTTGATTGGCTGGCTCGCGGCCTCTGCTGGCGGGCAGGGGGTCGTGCCTACAGGGTCGGGGAGACGGAGCACTTGGGGGCTGATATCGATGGGCAGTTATATAGAAGGACTTGTTTTTCCAAAATGTACACACTAATATGATGATGATACATTATCTAATTTCGTCCTTTTAAAGACGACATTTTTTGTTATTTGAAGCCCCACTCTGGCTTTTGTCAGGGGCCGCAATATAGGCAGGCCATAAATATGGCCACGTCTGAACGCGGTTTCTGGGACCTCTCCACGGTGATCCTCATCCTCATGGTGGCACTTTGTGTCATCGGGTGTTTATCGCTTGTGTAATGTCCTGGTGGGGTAGAAAGTCAGTCAGTCAGTCGAAATTTACACTGGGTGTCCGCGTCACCCACTGGCTAGCCGGTAGACAACTTCGCAGCGGTTCGGGACAGTATTTGGGTCTGTCCACGACCGGCTTCAACTGACGGGAGGTGCTGCTGACGTCAACCGTCGGGCTTACTATGCATTAACGCAGCGGTTCTCAAACTGGGTGCCGAGGTCCCCTAGGGTGCCGTGTGTGTATGCCCGGGGTGCCGCGGCAATAATGAAATTATTAAACAAGGCATGTAGATACTTAAAAGTTAAAATTTAAGTTATCTTCCCTCGCAACTGATGAAAATTGTTTATATATTGTTTGAAAACCGCTGCTTTTACGCATCGTTAGCCCGACCCGGTGACGTCAACAGCACGGCCCGTCAGCTGGAACCGGTCGTGGTCTGTCCCCTCTGATCGCATGAACACTGCAGGAGTTATTTTCAGGGCTCTTGGTGACCTGTAGTGCTAAGCCATTTTATCTGGCGCACATAACCTAGTCACAATTATAACCTTAAGCTCCTGCTTCGAGGATGCTGGTTAAACGTAAAAAAATTTTTCAGCAAAGCATCGGATCTTTTCCAAAAATGTGTTTCTTTTTCATTCTCTTTTTTTTTTTCTGTTGGATAAAGGTGTGTGGGTTTGGGTTGGTTGACGAGTTTCCTAATACCTCTGAGGCAAGGCCGGATTAAATTACAAATGCCCTACATCTATAGCTATAGACGGCCATGGATGACCTAAGCGCTGAAAAGATGTGGGCTGTTCCCCCTCCCCCCCCCCCCCCCCCCAGCAATTGCGAACATGTTAGTGCCCCCCCCCCCCCTAAGATCTGTATTAACAGCATTTTAAGCCCCTGGGAAAACACTGAGTTGACGCCCCTACGACAACCGCTGACAAGAGAAAACGTAAATGGTCGCTTAGGGGCACACAGATTAGCATAGCGGCCCCTATATTTGTGGGGCACCTGGGCATGTCCCCAGTGGGCTCATGTGTTGAGACGACACTGTTACTACCCCCCCCCCCCCACCCCCAATATACATGTCATTAAAAATATTTTGAAAAAAATTATACATTTTAAAATCAAAGTATATTTATCGAAATTAAACTGACAGAAAGATGGAAAATAAGGGCTGTGTTTGTATGCTTCCACTTTAGTTAGTTAGTTAGCTAGTTAGTTAGTTAGCTAGTTAGTTAGTTAGTTAGTTAGTTAGTTAGCTAGCTAGCTAGCTAGTTAGTTAGTTAGTTAGTTAGTTAGTTAGTTAGTTAGTTAGTTAGTTAGTTAGTTAGTTAGTTAGTTAGTTAGTTAGTTAGTTAGTTAGTTAGTTAGTTAGTTAGTTAGTTAGTTAGTTAGTTAGTTAGTTAGTTAGTTAGTTAGTTAGTTAGTTAGTTAGTTAGTTAGTTAGTTAGTTAGTTAGTTCTCTTGTCGGGCCACACATCTTGTTCTTGCAGTCTGGTCATGGTTGCAGATTTACAGTCATCACTTGGTTCTCGTAAACGTCTTACTTCTCGCAGAGCATACAGTACATCAGCTTAGTCCATGACACGTCCGCCCTCTACAGTAGCTTTGCCCGCAAGCTGATCAGCGATTTAAATTTTAGCAAATGCTTTGAGGATCTGGAACGCTTGAACGGGATCGAATTATCATTTTTGATCTGCAAGTGGAATGAAACAGAGTCAGCGATTTCACTTTATTTACATTTGAACAGTTGTCGCCTACTTTATTATTATTATTATTATTATTATTATTATTATTATTATTATTATTATTATTATTATTATTATTATTTTGGAATTGCAATGTCTTTAATCAAATCTTAAGATTCATTTTGTGCAACACATCGTTTGCGTATGTGCTTACTAGAATAAA